CAAAGAGATATCTGCACTCCATGTTTATTGCAGCGTTATTCACGAGAGCCAAGATATGGAAATCAACCCAAGTGTTTATTGACAGATGAATGAATAGAGAAATGCAGCATATATATACACAATGGAATACTATTCAGCCTTTACAATGAAGGAAACCTTGCCATTTGCAACAACATGACATGACCTAGAGGACATTACACTAAGTGAAATGAGCCAGACACAGAAATATATCACATGATATCATGTATAAGTGAAATCTTAAAAAATAGTCAAACTCATAGTAGCAGACAGCAGAATAGTGGTTACTGGAAGCTGGGAGGTAGGGGGAAAAGAGAGATATTGATCAAAGGATGCAAACTTTCTAAATAAATTCTGGAGACCTAATGCACCGCATGGTGACTCTACAGCATACTTGGAATTTGCTAACAGAGTGTTCTCACCACACACATACAAGGCAACTATGGGAGGTGAGGATATGTTAATTAGCTGGATTTTGGTAATGATTTTACAATGTACATATATATCACAATATCACATTGTATACCTGAAACATATACAATTTTTATTTGTCAAAAATAAATAAAACATTAAAAAAAGAGTATAGGAGTGTGGCAGGTCCTCTCTTATCAGTCGGAACTCTTCCAGTTGTAAGCCAGAAACACAAAACTTTAATAAAAATAATCTCATCAGTTCATAAAAATCTGAGCTTATTTTTTTAGCCGTGGGCACTGCCAGAAAGTAAGGAAGTGTTCCACACATGCACACACACACTGCACACACACATGCACACACATTGAGGGGTGTTTGGCAAGGGGCACAGGAGCCAATAGGGATCTCCCAATAACTAAAGCAAAAATATTTCAGCAATAAATACAATTAAAAAATCATTTTGGACTATAACCCAAAGTAAATATATGTGTCCATGAGTCTATATTGATATACGTGAGTGATTGAATAAAGTAATAAATGGGAGAGAAGAGACAAATATCTCATGAAGAAGAATTCCAAATAAATATATCTCCCCTAAAGAGGGTGAGCAGAACTCACCATGCCTTAGGAGTGGATAGTTTGACTTCCTTCCAAAGAGTACAGTATGGAAAGAAGGTATAACAGTGACTTGACAGTGGAGAGATCCAGCTAACACTGCCTCAGCCAGGTGATCAGGGTCAACATCCACAGTTGTAAATCGTGGATATAATGCGATCAGAATGGCACTTAACCTCTGTGATCTATTTCCCCCAACCCATCACTCCAATCTGGCCATGAGAAGAAGACCAAACTCCAGCAGAGTGGCATTCAACAGTAGACTTGACTAGTACGTCTAAACATGGTCAAGTTCATGAAAAACAAGAAAAGTCTGAGAACCTTGTCACAACCAAGATGCACAAAATTACTATTGCAACCCACGCTTTGTTCTTAAGTACCAAGTGCTAACTAACATCAGCAGTTATCCACTAGGTCAGAGGTTCCCAGAGTTTCTCAGTTCACAGGCCATTAGTGTCCTAGGAATTTTTTTTACACCACTCTTAAGCCAAAAGAAATCCTTAAAGACGGCATATGTTAAGTAGTTAAGTCCAAATAACTTAATAGTAGCTGTCTGCTCAATGTCCAACAGATGATGCTGTTTCCTTCTATGTCCAACAGATGTCTCTGTATTTCTGTCGTGTGCACAGGAGTTTGTAGTAGCACCTGGGGCACTTCAGTGCAGTTTAGAAACTGCAGTTCCAGGTAGTACACTCTGATGGGACATACATGATAATGATCTGGCATGACCAATCACAGGTGAATTGACTGGATAACCTTGAAACACAGTTTCCATATCATGATAAAGCACTGCATTGCTTAGTTCAACATTAAATGGCAATGCTGCTTCCAGCTCATTATCGGAGCAGTCCTCTTCACTGCACCAAAGACCTTCCTCGCTGTGCTAGTCAGGGTTCTCCAGAAAAACAGAACCGATAGAAAGTATGTGTATACATAAAGAGATTTATTATAAAGAATTGGCTCATGTGACTATGGAGACTGACAAGTGTGGGCTGCAGTCTCAAGACCCCGGAGAGCCGATGGTGGAGATGAAGTCCAAGGGCAGTCTGCTGGCAAATTTCTTCTTGCTCAGAAAGGCCAGTCTTTTTGTTCTATTTAGGACTTCACCTGATTAGACGAGGCCCACCCACGTGATGGAAGGAAATCTGCTTATTCAGTTTCACAATTTAAGTATCAATCTTATCTAATAATGCTTTCCACACAAAGCATAGAATTAATCATCAGAGGTCCACCCCTTGCCACCCAAACACATCTTCTTAACTAACTTAATCCCTCAATAAAGGCAATAGCAGTCATATGTCTACCTAATGTGATACAAAGATCCTGTATACAATCGAAGATGCACTGACCCTTTCTCCAGAAGAGGAGGCAATGCCCTTGACTGACATTTTCTCCTTGATAGCCTGTAACTTAAGTACTATTCCATATAAAGTCCCCTTCAAAGTTAACAATACTCAAAAACTATGACATGAAGTTAACATACCTTATGTTACATGAAAAGAAGAAAGGAAACAAAGATATTTGTTTACTATTTACATACACAAACATTCATAACAAAATTAAGAAAAAATACTCATGACAATTACAGTCCCTGTTTCTATAACTGGTCCTCTAAGTCCTGATGGTGGCATAATCTCTGCAGTCCTTCCAGGAACGCAGCATTGCTGTGGTTTACTGTTTTCCTAGGTGGGGCAGTTCTAGCGGCTTCCACTTGGTCTTTCCCACATAATATCCCTCACCACACAGGCCAGGGACCAGCGTGAGGATTCTGCTCAGTGTGTCTGCGTTAATTATACATTCCAGGACTGGGGAATAACCACAGGGTAGATTTGGGGACTCACTGTGAGATGGACTTGAGCTAAAAGTCCATTGATCCCCTGACCTCCACAAGCCCCTGCTCTGACTGGTGGGGACTGTGGGTCTCCTGGGATCTGTCAGGTCAGAGCCAATGTGCAGCGGTCCCCCAAAGGTCCGATTAGTTCCTTTTCCCCAGTGCAGTGACCCTGGTGAAGGGCCGAGGGTCCCTTTGGGGAAGGCTGGGAGAAAGATTATCAGTATGAACATTTGGTAGTGCACTGGGGTTCATCAAGGGGACCCAGCCTCCCCTTCATTCAAGGAGCACAGGGTCGGTAAACTAGCTCAAGGCTGAGAGTTGATTGCAGGGCCATGGCTCTCTGTTTTTATGAGATTAGACTTCATGTACTTGACCTAGAACTTCTCTGCTTATACAGAACAAGTAAGGATTTAGTAGGCTTTCTTTCCATTTCAGTCCAAGGAACACCACGATCAACGAGCTAACACCATAGTTCTGCATAGCTCAGACCAGTCTGATTTCTGCTTCGACTCTCTGTTCATGCAGTAACCAAACTCACCTTGCCTCTGACGATTGAGTGCCCCCCCTTGTTCCCTGCCACCCGGAGGACCCAGTTACCCCCATTGCATTCAGCTTTCCCAATCCAGTGGCTGCAGGTCCCCCCGTGAGGACTGGCCTGCAGAGGAGAGCGACCCCAGAGCTGTCCAAGGATGCTGGGCTTCCCTCACAAATGTCTTCCCTCACCGGTATGTCTTCCCAGGCTGCGTGACCAGGTCTCAAGTGACAAATCCACTCCAACATTCCAACCCCCTAAGTCTTTGAATCCTTTTCTCTGTATTAAACCAAGGCAGGTCTGTGGGTCTTCTCTGGCTCATGTTTCGGCCAACCAACCACACACACCATCAGAGCCCGTCCTGACTCTGGGAACAGTAGATGCAGACCCTGCATGAGATACAACATTGGACGTAGAAGCCCGTATCAATCAATTCACCTGATCCAAATCTATGTTCCTTCCACCATTATTCCCCCTTCAGACCCATTCCCACACACGTTGCCCAGACTTCTATCTGCGTGAACTAGGAAACTCAAGCGGTTCTTTCAGAGTATAGTGCACTTCCTCCCGGGGCCCACTTTGTACTTCACCTTGAGGGGTCTGCTGGGACTCGGTCTAGTTATAGAAGCAGAGAGGGTGGTGGGGTGGGGTCCTGAGGAGAATCAGTATTGTCTTGCTTGGCAGCTGCCTCAGACAATTTGGGGTTAATCCCTTGGGGTGGGCAAAGAGGTCACTCTTTTTTTTTTATTCTCACCCGAGGGCATGTTTGCATTTATCTTCAGATAGAACGGGAGGAAGGGAGAGAGGAAGAGAAAGAGAAAGAGAAACATCGATGTGAGAGAGACACATCAAGTGGCTGCCACCCGCGCGACCCCAACCGGGGCCAAGGACAAACTGCAACCGAGGTACATGCCCTTAGCGGGAACTGAACCCGGGACTCCCCAGTCCACAGGCCAACGCTCTAACCGCTGAGCCAAACAGGCCAGGGCCAAAGAGGTCACTCTTACTGAGGGTGGAGAGACGATTGCCACTGGCAAAGAAGACTGTTCAGAATTTAGGGGCCCGATGCCCCAGCTCCATCAGGGGTCGCTCACACATCTCTACGCAGTCGCGGGCTCTCCTTCCTTCGCAAGCAATGCCTTTCACAGCAGACACCCTGCCAGGCCCAGGGTGCAGCTCACACTGCAGTCCAGCCCATCACAGGATGAGACTGAGTTTGGTTTTAGCCAGCTCAGCCCTGTGGCTTCAGGACATCAGGGTCTCCTTCCCGGCAGACGTAGAACTCTCAGGTCAGCTACGGGGCTTGCAAGTCATGAGAGCTGGACCACAGACCTTGGCTGGAAAGCTCAGGAACAAGGCTCTGTTTCTACTGAGGCTGCTCAGCTGGTAGGGTGCACACGGGGGGGGGGGGGGGGATGGTGGTCACTGTGGCCACCACTTGGAAGCCCTTTCTGAGAAACAGTTCCTATCAACGTCTGTTGTCTCCACTTCTCACCAAGGCAGTCCCCTGGCTACAGTCATCCAAGCACGTTCGCATACACCCTGCGTGGTTAGGGAATCGCACTTGTTTTATCACCAGGAGAAAATGGCCTAGAACCGCACGCAGGACAGAAGGCAGAGCAAGAGCCGGAGCGGGGGGCTGCCTGGCTCTGGGAATTTCGAGGCACGGGACATCATCCTTGGTTTCTGGGAAGTCGTTTTCCTTTGCTTCAGGCTGTGGGGCCTTCCCTCTAACTCCATCACCTTCATGATCCACTGGCTGTACTTTTCTACCACGGTGTATATCCCTGGAATGTTCCTCCTTCCACAGCTCCTTCCCCAGCTGATGACACCCACCTGGTACCACTTCTTGTCAGATTCTGTGGTGCAGACTAGAGGCCCCCCACTGTCACCCTGTGGGCAGAGAGCACAGTTCAGTGGCATGTCCCATTCTAAACTGTCCACGTGTGCATTAACTGTCACTAATGGAAGAGGACCCGCTGACCTCCCCTCCTCCAGGCAGCCAAAGGAAACCTGCCATTGCTGACCACCGTCCACCCCGTCCAGGCCCAGGGGGTGTGCAGCTGTCAGCCTGGCTCTGGAAACTAGGGGCTCAGGGCATGGGCAGTGGATGGGACAGGACTGAAGAGGGAGGAGGAGGAGGAAGGACATGCTGAAAACTCCATCTGCAGATGGGAGCGAGGAGATGGAACAAATGTTGAATCTCTGTATTGTACATCTGAAACTAATATAACCAATGTAATATTGTATACCAACAATGCTTAAATAAAAAAATTAATTGAATTTTTTTTAATCCTCATCCAAGGATATGTTTTCATTGATTTTAGGGCGAGAGAGAGAAACACCAGTCAGTTGCCTCCCATACGCGTACTGACTGCGGATTGAACCTAAAACCTAGATATGTGCCCTGACCGGGAATCGAACCCGTGACCTTTTGGTGAACGAGATGATGCTCCAACCAAATGAACCACCTGGCCAGGGCCTAAAAAATAAGTATTAAAAAAATTTACAAATGTTATGTAAAGTCAGTCATTTACCTCGATATATTTAATGGCTAAACATACAGTAGGTGTTCATTAAACATTAGCCATGGCATGGCAGAGAAGACAAGACTCCGGAAAGGGCTGTAGAGGGAAGGAATGAAGACAGAACAGATCTGAGAAATGTTGTTAGGGTTGTGGATATCAATTCTCACTTGATGGTCTTCCAGAGGCATGGGAGAGACTTTTTTTTTTTTTAATTCTTTGGTGTGGGTGTTTGTAGGGGGGTGAGTGAGTTAAGCTTTTCTATATGTGTGCCCCTCCAGGGTGGAATCACACGGGTCTATGACCCCAGTGATTATTTATATAGAAAATGTGTGCCAAGTCCCTACGGCGCACCACACACGTGTAGGACCCCCTTCCTCCATTTCACACAGGGAAACGAGGCTCAAGGGGGATTCGAAGCTTGTTCAGGGCTGCTCAGTGGCCAGGCCAGAGTTTCCTGATACCAAGGCCCAGGTTCTCTGCACCTCACTGCTCACTTCTCGCCCGCATCGTCGTGTGGCTACCAGCAAGCAATCTCTTTGGTACAGAGATGGCCTCCTGGTCCGTGATCGCTCACAGGTGAGTGGAAAGACTGGCAGGAGGGGAGGGTGGACTTTTCCCGGACATGTGCAAAGCACGGTGTCAGCCTCTTAACTTTTCTTTTTCCTCATCAACCCCACCACCTCATTTCTCTGTGAGGTAGGTATTTTGATTCTCACTTTATTATTAGAAAATTGAAGGTTGAAATAGGTTTGATCACTCTCATTGCACAGATTTTCACTCAGGAAAAACCAATTGTCAGGCAATTGTTATACAAGACCCTATGGTCTATTGGGGAGATAAAAATGTAAACAAGCCCTGCTGGTGTGGCTTAGTGGTTGAGCCTTGACCCGTGCACCAAGAGGTTGCCGGTTCCATTCCCGGTCAGGGCATGTGCTCGGGTTGTGGACCAATCCCTAATGGGGGGCATGCAGGGGGCAGCCAATCGATGTTCTCTCTCATCGATGTTTCTATCTCTCTTTCCCTATCCCTTCCTCACTCTCTAAAATCCATAAAGAAAAAAAAATTTTTTTAAGTATAAAAATAGGATTAACAGCAGTATGAACAGTATGATGAGGCAGCAGTATGAACAAATGCAGTAGTGCAGAGGGAGGAGGAATGGATTCTGTTGAGGAAATAGACCACAGGAGCCTCCCAAGTTCACCGCTGTGGCATAATTACACCGTGTGGTCACTCCTGTTTTTTGTGGGGATAGAGGCAGATGACCTGGCTTCCAGCCTGAGCCCACCCCTCCCTGGACTAAGGGGAAATCACTCAAATTCCAAATCCCTGTTTTCTCATCTGTTTAAACAGGTACAGTGAGACCTGCCCAGCCAATCTTACAGGGTAGAGAAAATGAAATTATTGAATATGTCTGAAAGAGCCTATAAAGTTATCACACTGCTTCGGATCCATTGACAGAGTGAAGGAAAAGATTGATGATTAAAATAACCATGTTGCCCTGGCGAGTTTGGCTCAGCAGTTAGAGCGTCAGCCTGCGGTCCAGAGAGACCCGGGTTCGGTTCCCACTATGGGCACGAACCTCGGTTGTAGTTTGTCCCCGGCCCTTTGTTGGTTGTGCAGGAGGCAGCCACTCAGTGTGTCCCTTTCACGTCGATGTTTCTCTCTCTCTCTCTCTCTCTCTCTCTCTCTCTCTCTCTTCCTCTCTCTCCCTCCCACTCTGTCTGAGCAAAATAAATAAATAAATAAATAAATAAATAAATAAATAAATAAATAAAATAACCATGTTTTCTCATCTGTGACAAAGAGTTCTGATTAAGTATTTTCTACATTCCTTTTCAGCTCTAAAAGTCTGTGATTCTAAAAGTCTAAGATTCTATGTATGGTGTGAAATAACTTTCACTGCAGCGGCGTAGGTGACGTGCTCAGATAACATCCCGGGAAGCAGCCAGCCCAGGACAGTGGAACTGCTCCACATGGTACAACAACCATGGGTGCGTGCCACTGGCTCTCGTCCAAGCTCACAGAATAACAGCAGTGGCCCTAAGGTGAACTGTGGACTCTGGGTGATGATGATGTGTCAATGTAGGTTCATCCACTGTAACACATGTCACTCTGCTGGGGACAGGGGTGTACGGGAAGCCTCTGTGTCTGCCTCACAATTTTGCTGTGAATCTAAGACGGCCCTAAAAAATAGTGTTAAAAAATGAAGCTTGAGAGACCAGTATGAAATTTACTCTTGAAATTAAAAATGGAACTACCATTTGACCCAGTGATCCCACTCCTAGGAATATATCCTAAGAAGCTAAAAACATCAATCAGAAAGAATATATGGACCTCCATGTTCATGGCAGCATTATTTACAATAGCTAAGATCTGGGAACAGCTCAGTAGATGAGTGGATAAAAAAGTTGTGGTACATTTACACAATGGAATACTATGCAGCTGTAAAAAAAAAAAAAGGAAATCTTACCCTTTGTGACAGCGTGGATGGACCTGGAGAATATTAGGCTGAGTGAAATAAGCCAGGCAGAGAAAGACAAATATCACATGATCTCATCTATAAGTGGAATCTAGTGAACATAATAAACTGATGAACAAAATAGGTCCAGAGACATGGAGGCATAGAACAGACTGATATAACTGAGAGGGGAGGGGGACAGGAGGAGATGGGAAGAGATTGATCAAAGAACTTATATACAGATATGCATAACCAATGGACACAGACAATAATGTGGTGAAGGCCTGGGGTGGGGCAGGGGCTGGGAGGAAGAGGGATGGGGGGAAAATTGGGGGACACTTGTAATCCTGTCAACAATAAAATAAAAAAATTAAATTAAAATATAGCTTATGTCTAGCCCTGGCTGGTTTGGCTCAGCGGTTACAGTGTTGGCCTGTGAACCAATGAGTCATGGATTTGATTCCAGTCGAGGGCACATACCTCAGTTGTGGTTTGTCCCTGGCCCTGGTTCGGTTGTGTGGGAGGCAGCCAGTTGATGTGACTCTATTACATCAATGTTTCTCTCTGTCTCTCTCTCTCTCTCCCTCCCTCCCATTCTATCTAATGATAAATAGAAAAATATCCTCCGGTGAGGAATAAAAAAAGAAAAATGTAGTTCATATCTAAATCCAAGTCAGCTTGGCTGCTCCATAACCAAACTGTCCAACAGCCAGTTGGCTGCCAACCTGTATCCCCCTCTATCCCTGCAGACTCTCATTCTTCTGCAGGACCTCCCTCAGATTCCCCTCCTCTAGTTTGCTGGCAGATGTTTGTTGGCTTCCTTTGAAGGTTCATGCATTTGACAATCATTTGTTGAGCATTTTTTATGTGCCAAGCATGGCGCTAGGCATTGGGAATTTACACACAAATAAGACAACATTACGGCTGGAGTTGAGGGGACAAATGAGAAAGCAGACCATGTTGTCCATATGATGCCTGTCATCCCAGAAGGTTGCTAGTCCTTCACAAGAGTATTGTCACTAGCTGGGATATGTTTGATATTATATTTTTCTTGACTATGGCACTTAAAAATGATTATTTTAAAAAATTGAACTCTTTTTTCATATTATAACCTTAATCAGGAGATTATAAAAAAGAAAAGTTCTAGGAAAATTAAAAGTTCTGGCAAAAAGTCCAACTGGTTTTCCTTTTAGCATTTACTTTTAATTTGTATTTTAAGCATGGCATAATCTTACAGCCATTATTTTGAACATATTTAAATATTATCATTATTAAATGATCATTTCCCTTAATTATGCAATTGCATGCTTTTTTAAAGTTTGCTAAATTTGAACGTGTGACTTTATTTTTAAGGGCAATTATTTTTAAACCGTGGGGGACTCTGCCCGGTTTCTTTGGTGTTTTATTTTTATTTTTTTTAATTTATTTTTGTTACAGATGTTTCTCCTTTTTTCCCTATTGACACCCTCCTTCCCATGCCCCCCACCCCGTCCCAGCTTTGTTGTCTGTGTACATCCGTTATGTGTACATGCATATAAGTTCTGTGCTTTAACTCTTCCTTCCCTCCCCCTTCTGAGGGTTGTCAGTTTGTACCCCACTTCCACGTCTCTGGGACTACCCCATTCCTCAGACTGTTATGTTTATTGTATTCCACAAATAAGTGAGATCATATGATACTTGTCTTTCTCTGTTTTGCTTGTTTTGCTTAGGATAATACTTTCCAAGTCCCTCCATGTCATCTCAAAGGATAAGAGATCTTTCTTTCTTACAGCTGCATAGTACCCCATTGTGTATATGTACCACTGCTTTTTTATCCATTCGTCTATGGATGGACATTTGGGCTGTTTCCAGATCTTAGTTATTGTAAATAGTGCTGCTATCAACATAGAGGTACATATATTCTTTCT